TACATACATACATACATACACACACAGACAGGTTCGTCCCAATATGCGTTTTTGCAATTTGCATGTAGGCAAAAACGCATAAAAACGGGAGGGGGACACACGGGGTAGGGAAATATACTCAAAATTTCAGCTTCCCGGTTTCCTGTCTGGTGAGATGAAAGTAAGCGACAAAATGCACCCGCTTCCGAACACACAGACAATCTCTCGAGAATATGCGTTTTTGCTGGCTGTAGCAGCGTTATAACGCTGCACAACAAAAATACACAAAAATTTAGCAAGAATTAGTTCGAACATGAGTCATCCAATTAGCGTCAGTAAATAAACCATGAATAACACTTGACCATATTTTGTGTCGGCTACCCTCATGGGGTGGCCAACACAGAATGTGATCAAGTGCTATTAATGGCCTTCTGACGCTAATTGGATAAATCATCTTTGAACTAATTCTTGCTAAATTTTTGCGTATGCCATTATGTTTGCAGTGCATCATTTGCATTTTTCTTGAAGTGTGGTCAGCGGTGTGCTAGCAAGTGGAAGCTTTCTTCATGCATTAATTAACGGGCATTTGTCACTCATCCTTATTTATTATGCATATTATATTCAAAATGTATAATTAGCTTATGCTTATTTGCGTTTGTTTGTCTCGTACATTCCCTGTACACATATAGCCCTACTTCTTAATCATGAAAACTGGGAGCTACGGCTTCGAAAACGTGATATCAAACTGCATATGGAGGTTATGAGCCCAAAATCAGAGCCAATATCAATCATCATACTTTTATCTATAACCAAAAATTCAAATGCGACCTAATTTTTTTTTACCTGAAAACCATGATACAGTAGAAATTTCAGAATTTTAGTTCGCCAAAGAACTCGAAGCAAAGAATGAATTAACGTGTACTCAGTTCCCAAGCCTTACTCTATCGCGAATTACAATCTTAGGCTTAGTTTTATGCTAAACTTGTAATTTCAAAATTGTATAAGTTAAAAACTCAGAAAATTGGAACGTTTATCAGAATTTTTGGCTTCGTTTTGCCCTAAATTTGAACTTGCATCGAGATCTCTGAACTGACTTGGAGATGGTAACTGAAAAATTGGGAATGCGCCGCTGTCTTTTGACTTATGATAAAACTTTTAATTCTAGACAGTCGTTAAGGTCTAGAACAAAAATGACGATGAACCAGAAATTTTGATGCTAATCAAGCGCTGAATTGTTAAGGATATTACACGTGTAACACTAAATTTATCAAGCTACTGTACTGTTTTATAGAAAACTTCCGTGGTAACTTGACTGTCATACCCATAAAAGATCTCCTCGTATGTGCACAGTCAACCTTAATCTGTAAAAAAAAGCACGGTTTCAGAAAGATTTGGGAAAGCGACGCAAGACTAGTGATGCGATACGGCAGCGGTCAGAGGCGCGGGCGCAGGCTATTCCTGCCGCCCCGTATTAAATATCGGGAAGCAGCAGTGTTCCCCACTGCATAAACAAATAACTGCTGTGGAATCCTGCCAATGTTCTCCCTCAACTCCTTCATCATCACCATCATCAGCTACCGTTTTTTACCATTTTTGCTTTGTTTGGTACCAATTCAGTGCACCGCCCATGTGACCAGTGCTAATTTCGACATCCGATATTATGACGGTAAGCTCCATTTGATGTTGACTTGGGAAAAAGTGCTTTTTTATTGAATTTGACTGGAATAAGCATGAACTGAGGTGGAGTGACTATCGCAAAAAAGAATGAGTTTAAAATCTTTAAGTTTTGCATGGATGGGAAATACTTCTTTAAAATTTCAGCCTTCCACCTTTTCTGGTTCCCGAGTTAGCAGCTTTCCTGCCAGAACTTTCACGTACTCGTAAGCGGGACTCAGATGTGCATGGGGCTGGCCAGGAAACCACTGGCAAAAATTTAAGCATCAAGAGTTGCTGAGTTGAAATACTCGGCAAACACTTACACAGACACATACGCAGTCACATTATGCGTTTTAGTATTTGCATATTGGCAAAAACGCATAAAATCCTTGGGAAATCATTGGCGAAGCACATCGGGCGGGTCCGTGCGATCATACATTTTTGCTGTGTTTCGTACTGTAATGACATCGCTCGGAAACCAGTAGCTAGAAAAGTGTGACATACTAGTCCTCGATTTTCAGGAAGTTAATTGTCTATGCTGTATTTGGACAGAGAACATTCATTAAAAATCCCAGCCTCCCAGCTTACCCAGTCTCCGAGTTACCCATATTTCAGCCAAAAATCTTCACGGGGCCGTATGTGACAACATGCATAACTGGGGACTGAATTTGATAAATTTAAGTTGTATATGGGCTGGGAAAATTTCCTTAAAATCGCAGGCTTCCAATTTTCCCAGTTCTCGAGTTAGACATTTTCCAGACAAAAATTTCCATGGGGCTGTACATGAGAACCACGTGTGCCTAAGAAGCTGAATTTGATAAATTTGTGTTGTGTATGTGCTGGGAACATTCCCTGAAAATTTCAGCTCCTCGGCTTCCCTAGGTCCAGAATTGGCTATTTTCCCGCCAAAAATTTTCGCGGGGCCATACTTGAAAACCACGCACCTTCTGGGGTTGAATTTGAAATCTTTGAGTTCTATGTGGACAGAGAACATAATCTTAAAGTTTTAGTTTTCTAGCCTTTCCTGTTCCCGAGTTAGCAGTTTTCCCGCAAAAACTTTCACCCTCTCTTACGCGGGACCCAGACTTGCGTGAGGGTTGGTACCGCGGCCCTGGGTGGCAATTGGCTGGGGAACCCACTAACAAAATTTTGGCGCTGGAACTTGCTTGGGTGCCGAGTTGAAATATCCGGGCAGACAGACAGACAGACACAAACACATACACACGGGGGTCACAATATGCGTTTTCGCATTTGCACATATGCAAAAACGCATAAAAACTACATCTTTCAGTGCGACAGTCAGCAAATTCACATTCAACCGATTGCCCACGTAACTGGACGCGCTACGAGCGCACAAAATCATGCTTCCATGTGATTGAGCGAAGAATGCGCTGGTCAGAAGCAGAACGAGAGTGTGCGATCATGGGCGGTCACCTCGCTTCCATAATTGACGAATATGAGAACGTGTTTGCATTCAGTGAGTTCCATTTCCACATTCCGGTCGCACTTCGCTAGCTGATGTACTTTTTTCCTTTCGAATTTCACTATTTTGAAAATGGAGACGAGGTGGCGCAGTCTTCATTACTGCAGAAAACTTCAGAAACGTAGACAGAGGTTCAGGTCGGTTTTGGCTAGGATATTCATCTAGCTATTGATAACGGATTCTGGGTTCTTATCACATAGCTGTTAAGTCTTCTCTCGAACTTAATAAGTGAATCATTTCCTTTCAGAAAATCCTCGCTGATTAGATTGTTCCTCAGGCTTTTTCGATGCATAGCTGCATTCACTGCACAGCTTAAGAGTCTTAAGTATGCTAACTAATTAAGACGATTTCTTCGATTTGGAGAGATTTCATCTTTGGACTAATTATTGTACATAGTCTGACGGAACTAAATTTCTAAAAAAGCGTGCACTGTACATTGATCTCTGGATTGCTGACTGTTGGAAACAAACTTTGGTTTGATTCAAAAAGCAGTCATTTTACTGCGGGAGATCTAAATTTGTAACATTGGTACGAATGTCCCAATACCAATTTACCATCGAAACATGAACGAATTGTAAAGTAATTGGTTGTCTCACTGGTGAAATCGAATCCTGCACCTACTAATGCGTAACATCTGTGCTGTTTCCCACTGCGTCGTTCCCGCCATTCATGCACAAATATATGCGAGTGTATAATGCGAATATATATTATACATGTATGTATAATATACATACTTATGCTCTTACGCCAATGAATTGCAATGCAAATAAACATAAATTTGTCTGAAGATAGCTGAACTGATGATATGAATGCTGCTTGAACTCTTGATTTCGAGCGTCTGCTTTTGCTTTATGATGAGCCTGGAGTGGGTGTCTGAAACATTGTTTATTGCGCAGAGCCATGCAGCAGAATGATGGTCCGAAATTTTCAGATGTGGCGAAGCAAGCGAACTTATCGACGCCCACTCTGTGGCTAGGCAGGCTGGTTAAGCTAACTAGAACCGGTGCCTACGAATGGAACGATGGATCCGTGGGCAGGCACCTGGACGGATTCAGAGGTGGTGAGCCATTTCAGTTGCTATTTTCCTTTGTCCCCGTGCAGTTTTCTTCCTCACTAATTTCTGTTGCTGTGTGAGCGAGGCAGCAACAATATCTCAATTTAGCCCCGTTTTTAGAACCACCGTCAGGAACAGATTTATGCCTGACGATGTGGCTCGATTTCGATCGTCCGGAAGGATCTTGGAATGAATGGGACTGCAACTATGCAACCGGATATTCGGCCCTCTGCAAACGTTCACTGAAAAGAGGTGCATTGTCTGTAACCACCGGTAATGTTTTCGGATTTGCTTAGTGACTACAAGAAGGTTCTTGCACTACAGCTTTCAAAATTATAGATTTAAGCGTATGATAGTTCAGTTCACGCGATGAACTAAAATGAGGAAAAAATACTCAGAGTGGCCAATACAAATTTTGCCCCTTACGTTTGTGTCAAGAGTAGCAGTTTAAATGTGAAACTAGCAATTCATTGACAACTCTAGATACGATATGCAGGAGCAAAGGAGACTCAAATAATGCAGTTCCTATGCATCAGAGTTAATTTAATGTCCAATTCAGTGATATTACGGCTAGAAAATCATATGAAACGGTGAAGAAGACTTTGTTGCATTGTCTCTGGAACCAGTGCTAGCTGAATTTTCAAGTAAACATGAAATTAAAAGTAGCTCTGTTTATGTACAATTTTGTTAAGCTTATATTCTATTCATTCTGTTTTTTCGTCTTTTTTTGTTATAACATTCACCAAAGATAGGAACATTGCCCACTATCACCCGTAACATACTAAAATCTTGAAAAATATCCGAAAGCGCAGGCGATTGGTAAACTTTCAATCAAACAACTACGACACTGCACTTAGAACGGACATGTTTTCTAACATTTTTCTTACACACGACACTTAGTTCAGACTCTTATTATGCGTTTTGTGCTGTGTAACAGCAGTACAAAACGCATATTGCCAATCCATGTATGACCAAAGAATTTTAAATTCAGTTCCTTAAAACCGTCTGGCGCTCATGTACGGACACGTGAAAATTTTGATGGGAAAACTGCTAACTCGGGAACGGGAAAAGCTGGA